ACTGAAGTAGATAGCTCCATTGAACTAATAAGGAAAGTGATGCCAGTACGCTGAAGGCGTGTTCTGTCTGCTCATCACCCACCTATCACTTCCTACCGGGCCACCTGGCGACCACATGACTTTCTCAATCGCGGGTATGGGAGCTAGCTATTAATGGGTATCGGAAACAGAAGATAAAGCTTATATCATGTAGATTTTCGCGTTATCGTGATAAAATCTAATAGTTGTTGATTTTTCTCAAATCACTACAAATGGTCAGTCATGGTGACTAGTTTATTCATTTCCATACCAGTTCTTTTCGGCGTTTTTAACTCGACAGTACCTGACCTGACCTCTATCACGTGGTGCATTGTTTAAAGCTGAGAAAAAAAAACTCTGTAGGCGAAAGTGATACCCAATTAAATTTGAACCATTACTTGCTGAAGACAAGGTTATACAACAAAGCCTTTTTAATTGAAATCTCGCAAATTGGTCTATTGATCACGTTAAATCAACATTCGCCGCCACAAGCGGCAACGCCGATAAAGAATTCTCTCTTCCTTCCTGTGTGATTAACTCAGCAGAGTGTTAACGGTGTTTGAACAAGGCGCAGATTACGGAAAATATGACATTTCTGGATATTTTCCTGTTCCAAAGAGGTCCTTATTGCGAAAAAAAACCCTGATCGGCTCTTCAACACAACTGACAGTTAATTAACAAGTGTATACTACTCAAGGGGCTATGGTTTTATTCGATAACTGTAGACAGAAAACTTGTTTTGGCCAACACTGCAGGTGGCTCGACCAACATTCATACAAAGTTAATTTTTTTTCTTTCGTAAGTCGTAGAAACGTTCGAGAGAAACGTCAAGCGATTATTCTCAATTTCCAATCCACAAATATTTGCTAATTCTCTTCCAGATCAGTTTTAAGAGGAACGTGAAAGGCTAAATATTTAGACAACTGGGTAATGAAGTATTTAGTTTTCAATCTCCTAGTAAACACAGAGTTCATACATAAATTGTAAATACTTCTTTTTATTTCAAATAGCAACACTTAAATACATATATGCAGACGGTAAATACACAGGGTTCATTTTGCGTTGACTTTAAGCGGAAAGGGAAGCCTTTCAGGGATCCAATTGGCAACTCAAGATGTCTGTCAGGGGTAATTAATAGAAAAATTACTCTTAACCTTAGAACTTGTGTAAGTTAAACTTTGTATTGGCACAAAGGGGTTTCTAGTTAATTCCTACCCACATAATTCTGTTTGCTAATCCACTGCAGAGAAGTCTTGGATGAAAATCTTCAAGAAGCATTTGGGAGGTTCATTTAAAAGTTATTAATTTCAAACAGGCGCAGAAGGAACTACGATAGCCTTAGCAAATAGAGATATGCCCTATTTTGTGCCATGTCCTGCCTGCCCGCCTTACAAGTAATAAGAAATAATTGGGATCAACCCAGATAAGAAATCAAATCCTGTATTAGTGCCCCCACCCGCCAGTGTGTAATGTCAACAAATTAGAGTGTTGTATTGTCAAACACGCTATACATCTGACTTTGACAAGGACATTTGAAAGGGATAAAAGTTTCACCTATGTCGAGCGCCCAAAGGCTTTGTCAGATAGTGGCTAATGGACATAATGAAGGATACAACGATTTCACGTTGCTTTTAATTAGACCGTTTAAAGTAGAGAGGGTTCCCATGATCAGAAGTCAAACTGAATTCAGTACCTTAAAACAATTAGATCGTGCGAAGGAAAAATCATTTACTGAAACAACTAGAATTCTCTTATTGCCGCAAGCGATATCGTGAACTCCTTGACACTAAGTTTATCTCCATGCTCGGAAAAAATGAGCATAATTGGAGAGGACACAAAGTTGAGAAAAGAAGAAAAACTGATAAGTGAATCACGCGAGATTTACAGTGCAATTGCTAAGCAGTTTAAGATGAAGTCCACCGCTATCAAGGTAACAATGGAGAAAATTAACTTCTTTACTCGCTCTACTCTCGTTGTAAAAACTCCAAGTTTCATGAATGTGGTTTTTCTCTTTATTGTACAAGCTCTGATAGAATTTTCTTAATGTAAACAATGTCTTCAACCATTGACTCAAAATCAAAATATAGTTTGATATGTTTGCTGTAAACAGCAATGGCAGAAAATAAAATACAAACATAACTTTTCCTAGCCGTACCTAAATACGAGCGCGACAGAGTTTTTATCAAAATTATTCAATTTTTTTTTTTGAGTGTAGAAACCAAAATTGATCTATGTGGCTTTCCTTTTCCTTTCTTTTCTAAGAATTGCAAATAAGCTCCGCATAAAAAAGAAATGATCAGAGTTTTCCACTTTTTGTTTCAGCATAAATCAAAGCAAAATTACTGGAGCCAATGAAAATGTAAGAAAAAAGATAATTCCGGCTATTTTGGTAACGCCAACGAAAACAAGAGGAGACAGAAAGCGACAAGATTCACAGAGATATCGTTCTCTTTTCCGACGGTATTCTTCTATGACGAGATAACTTTCGCAGGGCCGATAAAAAAAAATCATTAAAACTTTCACGACGCACATCTTTGCTTAGAAAACAAAATTCTAAAAGATTCCATCCTTGACCTTGTTCTGTTTATATCAACAGGAAGCTTCGCGTTGGCCACGTTTCTTTTGTAAGGCATAATTAAAATATGTTCCAAATTTGCATCCCGACTTATTGAATGTGAGCGCTCACAGCTTGAAGTGTTCTCCCGAAAGACCACACGTCGGGGTCATTTTTGATCAAATATTGATTTTGGGGAAAGTAGATGAATACGTATTAATTTGACAGCAGTTTACTCTCACGAAGATTCACTTGATACGTATATTTATCGTACTTGGAAATTAGCGCCGGCACCGAATGAAAGATTGATAAGTTATTGTTGAAGTTTACCTTGACTTACGATACGCGGCGAGCTCAGTGTTTTCTTTAGCTTGTCACGAAAAGTTCTGTTAGCGAAAGCAGCTACAGAGACTCTCAATTACAAAAAAAAATTGCTAAAAATTGCTGGAGCTATGATGTGAATTAACTGCTACATACAGTCCAGCTTTACATTACACCCAAAAGCACTTATTGTAATTGTCTGGTGAAGATTGCTTTACAATCGACTTAGGGCGTAGGGGTCTAATTGTTTTGGACACTTCGACAGTGGACTTACGGGATTTACTTAAGTGGTAAAATGTCGAAAGGCGTTGTGACACTAATGCTGCTAATGTGGATGTACATCTTCCACTTTCCCTCCCTCCTATCATCAAAATAGCTAGTTTTCATAACTTGAACAAATGTTGCTTGCAGGGGGCCGAGGTAAGCCTGGTCTTCAAATCGTCATCATTTTTTCCAACGGTTGAACATATCGTTATATCAGTCGGAGCATTTTTAGTGATAGTCTAGTGCCGAAAACACTCATTTAACTTTTTATCATAAAATGCCTTAAACTGTAGTAAGTTTTACACATCAATTTTTACGAAAAATAACTCTATCAAGATTTGGTGTTGCGAGTTGTTTTTAACCACAGAAATGGCAAATAGCTTAATACGTACATATTATCGTGTACATCGGAGGCAAGTCTGAGTGGGTTGAGACCACGAAATATTGCCGGCGTTGGGGGAAATTTGCAACAATTATTGATTATGTCAGCTATTGACGAATTTAGCAGGAAACAACGAGTGTTTTAGTTTCTTTCGGCTAGCGAATATGCTAAAACTGCTTACAGATTTCATTGCGTGGTGGAGCGCAAGGGAGATAGATTCTCTGATAATATCGTATCACTTCAATACCTTTGAGTCTGCCACCGGCACGACTTAACTCGTGTTAGGATAACAAATAGTTATGTTTGATGCGACAACCGGTTGTCATCAGTGCTTAGGTGTTGCCTCTGGGGTCGGCGTCCACAAAGAAACCCAAAACAATAGTATTGCTTCCACGTAACTAAGCCGCATCGAGGAAACGATCGGTCTCGTTCAGTTTGTTTGTCTTCAAACTGTCAACAAAATGTAGAAGAAGGTCGGGTGAAGAACAGCACTAACTTTAGTTCGAGACTATAAATGTCACAAATCGCAGGATATTCGCAAACAAATTTAACCTAGTGCCTTTTATCAATTTAGCTCAAGTGTGTGGTTAACCCAACGAGATGGAAGATCTTTCGCGCTTCCAGGCGATAACATCGCGTTGAAGGAGGGGCTTTTCAATTATAATCTCTACCAAGAAGTCGATGGGTTCTGGGGTACTGTTCACTCAAGAACAGCGTTTACATTACAATCATTTGTTAAAATGAAACCAACGATGATTCGCATGACTCTTGATAGCCTCTTGTGGCCACTTGCGTGCGTTATCGCCCGTGACCTGATGACAGAACAAATAAATAGATGTGACAAAAGTTGATATTCTTCTTCACTTGTTCGTGTCATGAAAAGAGAAGCCTATAACACTACCATTTATTTTATTAATAATGGCTTGGGTTGCCATAACGTCCAATGAGGCTTCAGATCGATGAATGCTCTGTAGGGGGGAATTTGGTTCGTTTAACCGTCAAAATAGGCAATTAAAATTCTTTAGTTCGAGGTGGCATGTGCTTCCCTCCCCTTAATCAAACCGTCCTTATACGAATAGTAAATATTTGAAAATTACTTGTCGGCACCTCAGGACAAATATTGACAATGCAAATTAATCCTATTCCACTCAAGAAGGTGACAAACAAAATCTCTAAGTGTGAACAGTGATCGTTTTCTTTTTTTGGTTTGATTGTTCGAGTTTGATGCGAGAATCTTTTTCCATATTGTTTCTCTAGATTGCAAATGAGATTGTTCGAATAAGACGATTGCTATTAAAACACTAACAATTGATTGGATTCGATAGGGCGAACACATCGTAAAATATTTATCAACCCAAACACCCCGGGGGCGTTAACGCGATGATTGGATAACGAAATATCAACAACTTGCTAATGCCAATCAAAGACCGGTGTAGTTCAGTTACAATAGACCGAGAACTCACGCTGGGCTCCGAACACAACCAAGTACAGATGCTTGGATGAACGGTGAGTCGACTTCAAAGGATAACACTACGACAGCAGCTTTCAAATCCCGCGCATTTTGTACAAGTTAACCGCGCTTCGCTGTGTGAGAGGTTTTGCGGAATGTTCGTGCATTTCCTAGTCGAAGAGTTCGACTTGCCCAGCACGACACAGATGCTTATTTAGTTCCATGGGAGGATGACAAAACTGTGAATTAAACAAAGAGCCAACCCGATTGATTCATTTAAGTTTTCTGTCCGGTTTCTCACGCGATTATATTGTGGAGAAAGTGACCCGTCAAAGCCTTAAAGACAAAAGAATGAGTACAGTGCAAGACTCTTTCAACGTTCCAAATGGCTCGCACTATCCTTTTACGCCAGCCCAAGGCGTGCGGTCCTCCGCTCGTCCGTCTACTCATGAGTTCATATTCACCGGACCTGATAGCTTCACCAGTTCTAGCGTCGCAGCTGTTCGTCCACCTAACAGCAGTATAAATCTAGCATCTGACACAACTGTCGCTAGAGCAGGCAGCAACCAGCGACAACTCAACATGTTCCCTGGCTCAGTTATACACCAGCTTCACCCAAGCCACTACAATAGCCTGCAAGAGCCACATCGAGACGGTACTAATGGTTCACCTCACGGGTTTTATTCTGTTGCTCACGCTCACGACCCGCCTGGCTCTCACTATCAACAGACTGGCGGACCTCTAACCGGGCCTTACAGGTTCAGTAAAGGCATGGAATATTATACCCGAGACGACAAATATGAGCCTCATCATTCGCAATACGCGAGCCCTTTCGCTGCACCGCGCTACGAATTTATGCAGCACGCAGGGCTAACCATGCCTGGAAGTTACCTGCGCCAGCCTTTGAGTCATGTGGTGGTTTGTGAATGGATCGAACCGGGCAGTAAAGGAAAGCCTTGTGGGAGACAATTCTTTCGAATGCACGACGTAGTAGCGCATCTTTCTGAAGATCATGTTGGTGGACCGGAAAGCAGTTCTCATGTGTGCTTCTGGAAAGATTGCCCTCGTAATGGACTACCTTTTAAAGCCAAGTATAAGCTTATCAACCACATTCGTGTGCACACGGGAGAAAAGCCTTTCTCATGTCCATTCCCTGGCTGTGGAAAGCTCTTCGCTAGATCAGAAAACCTAAAGATCCACAAGCGAACGCACACCGGTGAGAAACCGTTCATGTGCGAATACCCCGGTTGCGATCGACGTTTCGCAAATTCGAGTGATAGAAAGAAGCATTCGCATGTTCATACGTCTGATAAACCTTACATCTGCAAAATAGAAGGATGTAACAAAAGCTATACCCACCCAAGTTCCCTTCGAAAGCACATGAAGCTCCATGCGAAGCCCTCGGACTCTCTTGGTTCGACAAGTCCTCACGATGAAAGCGTGTCTTCCGGCAGGACAAATTCACCAGCTTTCCACACCGCTTCAACTTACCCGCCAATGTCGGAATGGTTTAACCGCTTACCATCGACACAGAATCACGAACACTATCATATGGACAATAGCGCTAGCATTGCTGCCGCACAAGCTCCTCTGGCGTCCTACTGACATCCTACCGAGGAAATAAAGACTACGCTCTTTTAACATGGAGACAAGATAGCATTATTTAAATAACCGTTTCAATCAACTGTAAGCGGGTGACGTCTCCGTCAAATCTATCCACAGAAACATGTGTCGTTCAGTCGCTGACAAAAAAAATTTGCGACAGGATATTTGCTATTGGAAGACCAGCTCCAATCTAGACTAACGCTGGAACAATGGCAAAAAAATTATCCTAAACTTGGAATATTTCATTTCCATTATCGCTGTTGAGAAAACAGTGTTGTTTACGAAGGATGCCAGTCGTGCAACATTCGGTAAGCGTCACACAAAGACGAACTCAAGAAGCAGATTAAAAGAAGAAATTTTGCCCTAAAAGTCCACTTTGTATTGAGGCAAAATAGTTGTGGGCCAGAAGGTTGACAATTTGAAAAATGAAGACATTTTATGTTGGGCGAGATTCCAAGGAAATGGAAACTATAATAAAACTCCTCGGGCAAGGACCACAAGAAGGAGTTGAATCTATCAATCAAAATCACCATCAGTAAGAAGGAGTATTAGCTTACAGTATTTTCTTATTTATGTCAGGATATTTACTGTTCAAAATCAGCACTGTAAATAGCATATTTAGAATTTGACATCATCTAGTATATTATAAAGGAAAGAAAGTTGAGGGGAGGAATCTGATACCAGTGTCAAATTAGTCTGCTTGTTTCGAAACTCGTAGCACACGAAGTTCGTCGATACAGTCTATTGCTGTAAAAATTGGACTTTCTGCTTCAAGTTGGAATGCCATCTTTTAAAACTGAGAAAACTAAATAAAGCTTTCGTTCTGTGAGGCAGGTTATTGTCCTATTTTCTATAGAAAACTGATCGTCTAAACTAGATCATGTTATTCATATCCTAAGTCTGTATAACTTCAGGCCCAAAAAGTTGTCGTAGAATTCTAGCAGCACTTTTACTTTGTTCTCAATACAAAACGTGAAAAAAAAACTGTTCCTACGCAACAACCTTTTTGTCTCAGAATGTAGGGAGCAAATTATTCACTTGCAAGTTTGAAACTGGTGTTTGTTGTATTTAACTTTGTAATTAAATTCTTGGAAGTACGTTGATTAGATAAAGAAAAGCGTTGTTAGGTGCCGAAAAAAATGAATGCACTAGAGTAGAATAAGTTGTGTTTCGATCCAAATTTTGTGTATGAAGAGCCACTTTCCACTTTAGCTATCAAACACAGCACTTCAGCGTTCAAAAAGGCAAAAACCTACGACGGTTTTTCTCGAACCACGCGGGGCAGTATCTTTCGTCCCGAGTCGATCGGCATATATAATTAATTAATCTTTGTTACTCTTAAAATGCCAAGTACACCCATCCTGTCGAAAATTGAGATTGAAATGACCATGATTAGGCTATTTGTTTAGATCTCAAGGACATCAAAATAAAACTAACAAAACAGCTCCGTTTCTTTTAGCCAATTACCTGTGTGGAACCGTCTCACAGCTTCTTACTGAGATGTTTGTATCAGTTGAAAAGCCGGCATCTACAAAGGATTTTCTTTATTATAGTTTTTTTATTCTTCATGATTCTTGCCCAAAGGCTCTTTCAAGGGCAACTGATAATTTCGATATGTTTTTAGTGGCTCGTCCAAGCGCGGCTCCGGACAAAGACCGCAAACACTGTAAAATTACTGAGGCAATATCTTTCTACAAAGCAAATCAATCGGTTTTACACTTTCTTTTTCAACGAAGACAAAACTCAAAGACACAATAGGCTTTTGAAAGAGCGCTTAAAATAGTCCAGTATCTTATCATTAGGCGGTCATACCGCTTGATGCACTCACGCCACTGAACAGTTCGACTGGTTTACGAGAGTCGTTAACCAAGGCGGAAAACCTCAACTGGTTAAGACATCCTGCTCTTGTAGATATTTTAATAAAATAGAGGAAATAGGTAAAGCCTTCCTTTTTTTCTCGAGGGGCTTAGTAACAGTCAAAACTCAAGTGATTCATATAGGGTTGTCTAAACATGTCGTAATGTGGTTCAGCGCTGCTGGCTTCGCACCACGTCACGCTGCGAAGCGTGTTTCATAGGAGAAAGTTCTGTGCTTGTTAGTTTCCAACTGATGTAAACTTTAGGGATCCCAGATAGACTCTGCAGAAGAGAGATTGTAATAGTCAAACTGAGTAGATCAGGAGTTAGATTGCTTTCGTTGGGTGGAAAATCCACATGGCTAACGTCTGTTACCGAGTTTAATGTGTGCATCACGCGCCTTGGTCTCGTGTACGATTCAGGAAATGACAAACAAATGAACGATGGTGTTAGTAACAGGAGATGGGATCAATTTAATGAAAACCACTGGAAAATGAAGGTAAAGTTTCGTTGGTTAGGAACAGATCAAAACTTGACATGCTTGAGTTCATCAGTTATTTGAAATCGGTGAAGTCAGATGGATCGACCCTGACAAAACCTTTAAAAAGTCCTTGATGAGGTACAAGTGGGAATGCAAAGATAGAATTTGGGAAATGTGTCGTAAAAGTTTTTCCCTCACAGCCATGCTTTGATATAAAGGACGTTTCACGTAAATGCTTTGACCAGACGATTATTTATTAAATAAACCTGTGCTCTTCTGCTGGTAGTTTCGTATTGACCTAGTGCCTTGTACCTTATACTATCATCTGGTTCTAATATGGAAGTAAATCGCAAGAACTCTAGAATTCTCTGTCTCCCAATTAAAACTGGTCTATTGCAAAACGGAAGAACTCCCCTAGTGTTGTAGTAAGTGTTATCATCACTGCCACCGCAAAGTTGTGTTGAGTCAGTTCGGCCAGTGTGCATACAACGAGTTAGCGAAAGACTTATTTAATAAATGTTGCCTGTGCACGCCTGTTTGACGCTCACTTATAACATAGCCATAAACGTGATTACTTTGTGAATACAAGGGAAGATCTGAAGAGATTTTTTAAGAATTGAAAAAAGCACCCGTGAAAAGTTATCAAAGATTTTGGATTATTCGACACACGTGGCCATTTCTTCTTTAAGAGGAGATTTCGTTCAAAGCTAAAGCAAATTTCGCTTGAAGGAACCTCATTCTACTTAGTTTAAGTCAAAACGAGAGCTAAATTCCAAAAAGAATTTTTGATTATGTGAAGTGGATAATGATAGGTTTTTTGGATCACCAAGTAAACAAGAGGTTATTAGCAAAGAATTCCGCAATTTTTGCATGATTTATGATAAGAGTGTTGTTGATCACTCAAGCAATTGCGAGACAATGTTGTGCTCTTTATTATTAGTTTTAAAATTGATAAAACGTACAGCCAAATAGAACCGGTGCATGTTTTCTTTCCAAATAAACCAAAATCATGAAGAGACTTCTGATACAACAATATGCGTCTGATGTTCGAAAGCAGGTCTGTCGAATGTTCAATCGATCTGAACACGTGTTTTTATTTTCCTGACAAAACCTTCACAAACCTCTGGTACGCTATCAAATAGAAAACTATTCCCACATCGTTCTCATCATAAACTTATGTTTCTTTACATGGCTTCCATGTGCCTCTCAATGTCTCATGTTTTTTATTAAAACAGTAAAATTACTCTAGACTACTGGTACTTTCTTTTACGGAAAAGCAAGCTGGGATTATGACAGCCAAAACATGGTGGAGTTGCAAACACCCAAAACTCCACCAAGGAAAATCAAACACATACATTCAGATGACCTCCAGCAGGTTCGGGAGTAGTGGTTTGGATGTTATTACCAGCTACTGGAAGTTGGAAAAGATCGAAAAATTTTAATGAAAGATTGCCGGAAACGGTCTGACATGTCTTCCCCTTGTTGTAAAGGAATCCTTGGTTTAAAACGAAGCCAGTTGTAGGCGATGAACCCTCCAGACACTGGCAGATTCTCTGTTATATTGGGTAATATTTAGTTGAGCTCATGACAAGTTGTTTTGTACAAGTGTCAGATTAAAAAGAAATTCAAACTGGTTCTATTTCAGTCAATGTCTGCCGCTACAAAGGGAAATATTGCTTCGCTTCATGTATTTCAATGTATTCAATGGCTTTGGCTTTCATGTTAATTATCTTGTGTGTCAAAGGATGGTCTATATTTGACATACAGTAAACATCGACTAGAGTAAAAGTGTCCCGATTTTCAAGCTTTCTTGCTCTATTTACGAACTGCAAATTGTTCCGTAATTTAAGAAACGTTTGTCCTATATTCTAAATAGCTGAAGGGCGATTTAGCTGTCAAGAAACACATAAATCTTAATTAAAGGTTCCGTTCAAAAGCACTTGTAATGGGGCAGCCCTAGAGGGTTTAAGTTCCGAGTGACGACAAAACGAAATTTAGCTAGTTGTACGATCCTTTTAAAACGGCAAGAGGAAGAAAAATTTTTAAAAAGCATTTCATAGTAAAAAAAAAAACCTTGGACGCCATTTCTTTTCTTAAATTTAAATATGAATGGCAGAAATCAATATACTTTTATCACCAAATGTCTCTGTGGATGAGTCTTCAAAAAAGCAAGATTTTATTCAGTTTTACATTTACCTTTCATTTTTATGCGTCGGTAAACAGGCAGGATTACACGACCTACTTAGAGGGCGCAGCTTGTAAGTAGCTAGATGTTTCTTTCAAAAAGAGTGACTCCCCGTGGATCCTAAACCAGTTCTCGCAGCATACTGTAAATCTTTTGTGCTTTGATCACGGAATCTGGAAGTGCTTTCGTTCTCTCCCTACAGTCCTAAAACTGTAAAATCCTTCCATTCATGCCTTAAAGGCAAAACTTAAACTAAAATAAAGGATTCTTCGACAACGAATACTTGTTAATTGTGTTTGTCTTTACATAGGTGCTTCCGTGAAAGCAATGAATAGCATTTCCATTTAAAGTTGTGGGCACAAAGTGGTGCAAGTAATGCATTTTTACTGTACAAAAGATTGTCAACCAAAGTGTTCCTGAATCACACTTGCTGAGGGGGTAAAACAGGAAAATACGTAAAATTAGGATTTAGCCATAACGTCAGTAAAGGACATTTGAATGTTAATCCACGTTTCCGGTGTTGATTGTATCGAAAATTGTTTCCACTTGCTAAGCTCGAAATTTTCTCTTATTTAATAATATTAAAAGAATTAGCTTGCCTCATTTGGAAAATCAAGATGACGAGCCTAGGGAAAATAAGCAAAAAATGGAGAACATGGGCTTTGTAAACGATAGCAAATGTACCAAATAAAGACTTTTTCAATTGATGTAAGAATTTAATATCGTATGAACTTTCTCGTACATACCATTTTGTATTGAGAATACCGACATATATATGATGTAGAATACTTTTTCATGACTTTTCCTTTCCTACTTTTATTGGTTAAACATTTATACTTCACATAGACTTTGCAAATTCTTGGGGAGTCACTCCTGTGTAAGGAACCTTTTATGTGTCTTTATTTTGGTGTCATAAAAAATAAAGCTCAAAAAATCTAGTACAGATATTTAAATACCAAACTTGTATCAACCAAATTGTATCTGAATAAAAACCTGTGATGCTGCTCAACAGGAATTTTGTGTTCATCATCTAGGTCAGACTGTACAGCACAGTAAAAAGTCAAATTCATCCAACTGAATGCACCGTGAAATAGAAAACACCCTGGGTTATTTAAACCAGACATACGAAGATGTTGTAAGTAATTGAACCTAAATATATGCGTTGCGAAATTTGAGAAGATCACAATAATGACAGAATTAAAGAACGCGATGTATGAAAGCAAAAGTACATAACTTTTCAAACATTCAATGAAATCACAAGGGATTCAATGAAAATAACAAAAAAGCAACCTCTTCGAGAATAGTTC